GATCGAATACTACATTAGGTTATGAATCTTGATTTAAGGAATAAAAGTGATCAATAGGTGAAATTGTTCCGCCCTAAAACCGATATTATTTGAATTTCGATTAATTGTGTTTGTTTTCAATTTAATTTAATTTCACGTTTTTAAATTAAATAGTTTCGACAAATCCGTAATTTTATTTATTTGCATCAAATACGAGTTAGAAATAGTAAATTGAGAACGAAAGGATAGTCCTCGTCGGATCGACAATCCGGACTCAAAAGTCCACTATATTACTTGTTACGATATCGTACACTTACGATATAAAGAACGCAACAGGCCTCAACCCATGCTACCAAACAGTTTCTTCAACAATCCTAAAATAAGCAACCTCAGGAATAAAAAAATATACAACTAAACCAACAAAAAGGACAAAAGAAACACCACCTCAATATCAACACAAATCACAACCTCCTACAACTGTCTGAATTCTAATGATGATCAACTAAAATTTAGTTCCTAAGCCAAAATCTCGATTTTCGATCTATATATGTACTCATATCTAACATGTTATAACCAAATTTCCACTCCAAAAGGGTAAGAAAACCATAAAGTGTTGACATTTCCCCTATTACACCCTTTTCAATGAGGAAATTGCTGAAAACCACAATCTTGAAGGCACCCATGTTCAATAACCCATTGAAATTTACATTCCAAAATAGTCAAAAAAAACCCTCAAACACTGCATAAACAAATACAAATATACATAGTAAATGCATACATGACACACAATTTTATTTCATAAATACACACAAATATAATCAAGAAACGGAAATTTAGACAAACCTCATGATATTGACACGAAGGTGGCCCTTGAGCTCGATAAAGAGCACCTGCATCTGTCCCAAATCCGTGGCGTTTCCATGGGAGTACAATATGGTGAACCTTCCCGTCAGGTGCTTCAGAACGTAGCCACAACCAGGAACATGACCATGATTTCAATCTTGCGGGGACGAAAATACGGGGGTGGAGAAAAAAAAATTAACTAAAAGGATTGAAAACAACGATTTTGAGTACTAAAATAGACAAGCTAGATTAACTGATCAAAAAGACAATCAGTTTGTCGATACAAATTGAAAACAGGAACGTTAGATGAACATAAAAAAGACAAAAAATAAACTGCATATCTATATAATAGATTGTAGAGATGGCTTGGACATCTGAAATTGGTCTATCCTTGTCCACATCACTTCAAACTCGTCAATAAGAGGGGTGTCTGTAGTCGAGATTACATTCTGTGGGCTGTGGCCTTTGGGTATGCTTTTGGGTAATTGATTCGTAAATTGGTCCTCTGTTTTTGGATTGGATTTGAGCTATTTATTTATTTAAGTACCTTTTGGATCTTTTGTTTAGGTCTAAGATTTTTGTATGGTTAAATTTTAAAGTGTAAGTTATTGGGTCTATATTTATTAATGGAA